TCTGTCTTAAAAAGAGACATTCTTTGCCAGAAAATATTAAAGTTATCGACATAACACACACCGTGAGCCCTGCAGGCAGACTGGAGCCAGTCGTGGAGGCCAAGGAGTCTACTGAAGCGGCCAGCACCGCGACCAACAGTGGGAATGGGACCAGAGATAAAAACGGACTTTCCACACTGCTTTAAAAAGTTAAAAAGACGGTTAAAATCTGATTTTGTCAGCTCAGACTGCTGAAGAGCTGTGTCATTTGTTCCGACATAGACGGGAGCGATGGCATTAGGTCCTGGAGTTTTTTTAAAATGTCAGCCATGGTGGCACCAGGGAAGCAGTGAGTGGTAGCTTTAAAGAAACGGATGTTTCTGGTTATGGAGTCACCAATTATTAGTGTGGTTGAGGAAAAAATGGGACGAGGAGATGCCGGCTATGGGGTTCCAGAGCAGGACTGAGCAGAATCTGCTTCAACACTGCGTGCGGAGTGAGGATGGAGTGTGTGAGCTGCCGAGTGTTGTGTTGGAATAACAGTAACAGACCTGAGAGAAGGGCTACCCGACGATGCAGGGTAGAGACGGCCTCCGGAGCATCTGAGCACAGCCTCCTTCAGGATCCTGCATAGGGAAGTGGAGGTTTTTGACCGGGATGACGGCCGCCGATCAGGCCCAGTGGCAGACCGGCAGCCCAGCCGATCACCATTTGCTGCCAGTGCAGGAGATGTAGCCGGTGGAGGAGATGCAACAGTGTTGGCAGGCACTATCAGGGAGACTCGAAGCTGCAGGTGCATCCGCTGGATGGACCGGAGTGTCGTCAGACAGGGCTGCATAGCGGTTGGAGAGGCCGATGTGCGGAGGAGAGGCAGCCCCATCCGAGCCTCTCTTGCAGCCACGGACCACCACTTCAGCCCAGGTTGACTGATGCTTCGGAGTCGAGCAGGAGGAAAGCCTGGGAAGGCCAGAGGGGTCCCATAACACAGTGTCCTGGATGTTGGCGGTTGCGCTAAGAGAAACAATCTGTTTGGCTTGTACTGAAGCCACATCCATAAAGCCAGTCAGCAGGGAATCTTTCTCTTTGATTTCCTCTGAAAGTCGTCGAATGTCTTCCATAAGGTCAGCAATCTTTTTGTTCGCTTTTTTAAGGAGTGTGCAGTCCTCATGGGGCGGAGTTATCTTGGCTAGCATAACGTTAGTCGCCGGAGCTTTGTTGTGGTCAGTAGCGTTGATAGCGTTTTTACAGTCCTCTAGCTTAAAATTCACGTCGGATGACTAAAATCCTTTACCTACGTAAAACTCAAATTAAAAACTTAAGTTAAATAAAAAGGATATAAAAAATTTAACGTAAAAGTGTGGATTAAAACTGGATAAGAGTCCGGTTTAAGACAGAGCTTCCGACAGGTAGCTACAGACGCCAACGCATGCACAGAGTACAAATGTAATGCTAGCTAACATTCATTCCTTGGTTGCTACTCGCTAGGTAACTTAACTATGTTCCACGCACAAATGTATCTCACATGATGTGTTTAAACCAACGACTCTTGGTCCTTTCATTACATAGACATCTAAGTTGTTTGACGTTAGCTTCAGTGACGTTAGCTTCAGTAACATTAGCTTCCATCATTGAGAGAAAAAGGTATGAAGTCACATTTTGGGTTTGTGGTCTTTGTAGGCTATTTGCGTATTTTCAGTGTTATGTTTTTACCAGTTTTACAACAAACTGACTTTCTTGACTTGCAAAATGATATTTTAAATTGAACATTTAAAATGGGATCAAAATATTTGTCGCCATTGACAACTGTGGTTGAAGTGGAAAATAAACTACTACTATAGCTTACTACTAGTATAATATTATTCCAGGTGGACAAAAAAGCAGTTTAATTTTTGTGGGTTGTTTTCCATCTTGGCTAAATCCTTGTGCAAGAAAAATGCTCCACATAGGCGGTCTCATCAGTTTCTTCTGAAAGGTGACTAAACGGGAGTGAACGCAGAAGCACAATTCAGAGACAGTAGTATAAGGCAAGTTCCGTTTATCGTAGTCAGACAGGCAGGGTCATAGTACCAGGTTGGCAATCCAAGAGAAAGGCAAATAAATTTAAATCCGATAGGCAGAAGATAGGTCTGGGAAACAGGCATAACAGGGTCCGGACACAAACAGGACAGAACAAACAAACTATAGACCGCTGGAATGCTAGGCAGAAAAAGTCATAACATTTCTAGTGACTACTGTCCAAGCATATTCTATATCAAATGTAGAAACACTTCTTCATCTCCTTATCTTTCACTTCTTCAGAACATTCATATGTTATAAATACAACCTCCCCTTCTTTGGTAAAATACCACTTGTCCTCCTCATTTCTTTTCAGTAAACATATGTGATTTAGTCAAGCACCCTCAACCCACATCCAGCTCCTCTGCCTCCAGGCCAGAGTTCAGTATGCACAGATGAAGCACTGGTAGCACATCACACTGGGTTGGATTGCCTATCTCCTCTCAACAGTCACTACCGATCCAAGTCATTAGGCAGCAGAGTGCCTGCTTGAAAGAGCACTGGAGCAGAAAGATATTGCAGAGTGTTGGAGAGAAAAAGCTGGTAAAAAGAAGGTGGCAAGGAACCAATGGTTCACTGTCATTGTCTGTAGAGGAAAGCGTCAAAGAAAGGAAACAGAGGAAAAGGAGATTAATGAAGAAAACACAGAGGAGAAAGGGGAAGCACTATCATGCAGCCCACGAAAGAAAATAGAGAAAAACATCAGAAAAAAAACAAACGAATTCAACTCTTTGGTTGAATTCAGTGAGACCTTTTTGACCAAAGATCAGGACCAGGATAAAGTATCAATCCTGTCAATTTGATCAGTAAAATAATATCAGCAGAAATAATATCATCAACAGCAACTCATCATTTACAATAAGAGACGGGGAAAACTAAAGATAATGAAAAAATAATGTGATATACTTACTGTATATATATATTAATATATATAGGCCTGCAATGAACTGTACCCCAACTGGCATTGGCTCCAGCCCCCCCTCCCCATGACCTTGTACGCAAGATAAGGGGTTGACAATAGATGGATCAGTTTGTTAAAATATTGTACTTTGAGCACTTTGTCTTAAAGAATTGTTCATCATCTCTTTGCAGGATCATGTTTTCTTCTGTCAGTCAGTCTAAGTGGTCAACTAATGTCCATCTTTACATTTTCAGGATGTTTCTCTGTGTGTCTCTGTTGCTGTCATCACTCTTACTCCACACCATGCCCATCATTTCAATTTCCCTGTCCATCCAACTTCTAGAAATCTAACTCTGTGATTTTAAACATTTTTGCCAGCTCATACTGTCTCTGAGGGACACGGCTGAATGGAAAATGCTTGTACCATACTGCTGTGTGTATAGAATAGTAACAGCTTTGACAGCACTCAGTCAGAGGTCAGGAAAGGGACTGACAGCTTTACATTCATAGCAGTGACTCAAAGGATCAGATGACTCCTGCAAACATCAGCTTTTTTTGTCAACAAACACACACAAAGGTGAGACAAACCAGTGGTATTTCTGAGACTACACCTAACAGTGGTCATGTACAGAAACATTTCTAAAAAGGTTTTAATTCACAGCAAAATATACTCTTCTTCTTTGTTTCCATTAGTATTCAGCACTCATCATTTCATTAAATCATTTTCTAACAACCCAAACTAAGATTCCATAACTCACATCTACATGCATGGACTATGAAAATAAGGTACAACCTTATATTCTACTCACTATAAACACTGAATATAATTTGGATTTAGCACATTTTTCGTAATGTGCAAATCTCACATTGTCTTTGTCCCTGCAGAGATCATTATGTCTACTTATCTAATATAATATATGATTCAAAATAGGTTTTCTTTTTCACAAGGTGCTAATGAAAGGTTTAAAATGACAGTTCAGTTGATAATGAAATATTATATTATTGGTCTTACCTGGAGCTTCTGTGAATAAGAGATGAGTGAGAGGGTGCAGCACACAATTGTGTTTTCTCCAGTTTCTCACCAATTACTCATGAAATCAATTTTACAAGTATTTCCCTGACCTTTTTCCACAGAAAAAACAATTACAAATCTAACAAGAATTTGATGTTTGTTGTCATGGTAAATTGAAGTTTATTCATAATGGGATTTTTTTTTTGGTCTGTTTTTTGATCTTTTAAGCAAGTTTGAATTATTTATGGACCCACATTAGCATGTGCAAAGTTTAAATTATACACATGAGTGTGTACAGTCACTCAGAATTATCTGCGAGCCTCCAAATGCATCCACTGCCAATTTCCATTTCCATTTCTATCTGTCTATTTTGTGCTCAAGCAAAGTATACCATGTGTGACCCATAAGCACTTTTGTGTATGTTACTTTAATTGCCATAATATTACACATTGTTTCTAATATGTATGGAAAGAATGTTTGAGCAAACAATATGAAACAAAATCATGACAGAATTCCAGGGATCAAAGCCAATGTAGGAGGCAGATAGTACATATGGATGTGTCTTAGTGTACCCTCTGCCCATGTTGCTCTCGTTGCTCTAAGGTAAAGCTCTAATGAATGATTTAGGGAGCTGCATGCATCTATTACATCCACTTGTGAAAAGCCCTGACCTGCAGTGTGTAAGCTCTCCGGAGCATTTACAATGGGTTTGTCTCTCAATTCAACCACATTTCTGGCAGAGAGGTTCCTAGACTGAAGCAACTGAATGTGTGAGCAATGACACAAGGTTGAATTCTTGGTAAAGAAAATACTTGAAATGGCATTTTTATTTTAGTGCATCCATTGGCTCTATCTAGGTAAACAAATAAAAAAAACAGTATGGAGGAAAGACTGTAACCCTGCTGTATTTTGTGTGTATTTCCACAGTATTGGAAACAGGGGGGGACTAAAATACATCAGTACATTTTGGTAGAAAATCAATGCTAAACCCATGCGGAAAAATCTGTGAAAAAAAAAGTTAGTCAACATCAAACAGCAATGCTGACCTTTTTCAGTAGTCAATTTTTATTTTACATCTTTTGAAAAAAGACAATCATGGACATATACAAAGCATTAAACAGAGCATTTTCAAATCTAAAATAAAAAACAAATCATGTGTACTTTTTAAAAGAAATACTAGGTGAGTCTTTTTTTTCTCAAAAAATTTGGGCATTTTGTGTATGAAACTCCTACAGGTTTTTATTATATACATTGTATTAAACAGCTCTTATTTTTCAGCTGTTCATTTAAAATACAGGTCAACAGCTGGTTCCTGTGAAGCTGAAAATGTTGGCAAGAGTTATGTCATAATTTAGATTATATAAAATAGTCAATATAATTAAAATATCATACAGGGTTTTTTTTCAATTTTCACAAAAAACCTGTACAATGACCAAGTAACTTTTGTGATTGTGGTAAGAAAAATGGAAATGTTCCTCTCAGAAGGACCTGAGAGCTAAATGTAATCATTTCTTCTTATGTTCCCCTGTGAAACAGCGTCACTTTAATTTCACTGCACCTGCACCGACTGAATGACTTCAGGCCAGAGTGACTCACTGAAAAATAACATGTTAGATGGAGATGACTGTTTCACTAACAATATACAGAAAAAAAGAGCCAAATTAAAATTAGTGCTGTCAGGTGAAACCTGATATTTGGTGTTTTAATTGACAGTACTAGAACTGAAAAGGTCAGCTACGATTTGAAAATGAAAATAATTAAAATGTCACTTAAAGAAAAGTCAATCTGAATGAGGTTTTCATCATCTAAAGAGCAGAAAAAAACCTTAAACTTTAAGGTATAATTTTATAATCATAGGAAATGCTTAAATGAAAAAAAACTGTGTCATACCTATCCTAAATATTGTAGCTTTAGGCATATATGGCCTCAAAAGAAAAGTAAGAGAATACAGAATTGCAAATAAAGAACATACGTACCACAAACATCTATATCTTTTTCTAAATGTCATGTTTGATGGATGTTTATAATATATTTTAGGTGATGTTGTGCATCATAACCCACATTTATGTGGCAAAACACCCCCTTAGCTACTGTTACTATGCCTTTCAAGCTTTCCATTTTCACACAGCACAGTTTACAATGATAACGAATGCAAATTAATTGGATTTACTTCAAAATTTATAGTAATTTTCACAACAATGGTCCAGTTCTTCTTTTCAGACAAAGACAGACAAAAGCAGGCAGCTGTAGGTAGCTAGCTAATTAAGCTAACATTAGCTGTGTCTTAAATATGCAGGTGGCTACATGCTAAAAAGAGTGAAGCTAAAGCTGCATTTAAAAAAAGAACCCACCACTGATACCCTTTATCTATGCCGTATGGTACAGCCCCATGCACACTGCCCCAACAAATGGAGAAATCTTTAGCTTGATAGTCCTGCCTACCTCATTACTGTTACTAAGCTAGGATAGGAAAATTTCTGGTGTTTTGATAATTTTTATAATGCCCACTTAAAGCAGAGTACATTTTCTAACAAGTAAACATAACCCAGAGGCTCAGCAAATAGACAATATTATGGAACAGAGCTCCTGGACTTAAGTCATCAGGGGTCTTGAACATTGCCCTGAAATAAATGGCTGATGTCAACAAGGGAGTATCAGGTAAGTGGTCTCTCGCTCAACAATCAATGGCACAGACTGATGGTAGAAAGTCCTTGGAGAAAAAAAAACTGCAGTAGCCCATTACAATTGATTCACTTTAAACAAAGCGTCACAGGGCAATGGCTCACTGTTGTTATCTGGTTTGGTGTGTACCGTTTTAGTCCAGTCTTTTTTCATTTTGACTGGTCTTTTGTATTCCTGTGGAATTAGATTTATTAAGTCTTTAGTTTTGATCATGTCTTGCGTGTTCTATATATAAAACTGTATCTGACTTTAACTTAACTTCCATTAAAATGACAGATACAGTAGGATCAACTGCAGTTGGACATTTCAGGTTTACTAATTTTACATTCTATTTGTGAACGTGATTGTCCAACAGTATGACATTCATTGCACTGTAATATGTGTGAAAAAACCCTTAAGTGTGGCACTTCATACGTTTAATAAAGTGTCTAAAGGGCGATTCAGTGTGTTTCACCTAATTTGCTACAAATAGTTTATACTTTATACTTTCCAAAGTATGCAATACCATTCTCCAGATTGATCCTTTCTCCCGGTGTCCACTGACAGCAGTTAAATTTAGTACAATACCAAAATCAGTTTGGAAAAAATGTAACATTGCTTCAAACAGGTGCTGTATCAACATGAACATTTAGTTGTTTTTTTCATTAAATTGAATTTTACTTCCTAATGCAGTTGCAAGAAGGACCCACTTGGTGAGTTCAGGTGCTTGGGGAAAGCTCCAACATCCTAAACTTGAGACACTGCTGCCGAAAAGCAATGTGTTTATGAGATATGTAGTCACAAAACCAGACACCAAACACAAATCATAAGCACGCATACACCTTTTAAAAAAAGATATTGTGAGTTTGGCAATTTCTTGCTTTTAAAAAGGTGCTTTTCTGCAGATGACTCTTAAGTCTGCTATGTTACTATTTAGTACTCAGCACCTAAACACACCAACAAGGAAGAGTTTTCAAAACATTTCCTTCTTTTAGCAGCTATGTGGAGACAACATGAACTACATTGTTTTTGCTGTGGCTGGTTTTCTTTCACAAGGTCTCCAAGTTGATTTAAATATTTCACCAGCATCAACTGAAACCAATGGACATGGAAGGAGGGAAATTAACCTTTCACTGCTTTGGAAAAGCTAAAAGATGCAAAATCAATTGTACTTTTTTGTCATATTAACTGGGTTTCAGACATGCCTATTGTGTCACCTGTGGTTAATCCAAGGTGTCAGGCTCAGCGTCCATGCAGGTCTCCCAGGGGTTACGTGGCATGTGAGGCATGGAGATGAGAAGCAGGGCGCCTCCACTGAGGATGAGCAAGGTGAAGGAGGCACAGGCACAGGTAAAAGACCAGGAGTAGTAGTATTCAATCCAGATGGTCTCATCACTGTCGATCATTCGCTTGACAGACTGGCGCATTACCTCGACAGAAATGATGATGCAAAGACCTGCGTGCCAAAACAGAAAGGAAAAAGCAGATGCTTCACTCGCCTTCGTGGCGATTGTGGTGTCATAAGTGTTCCATCAGGTGCTGTTACAATTCCACATTTCCACTGCAAGATTGTCAGTTTTATTTTAACTTTGAGTCTGTGACAGTATATGCAATGCTAGGTGGGAGGTCACACCTATCAAAATTAATTTCACACTTAGATATTTTAAAATGTCGCCCCAAAGCTACATCAAATCTGTCAGCGCTTGCCACCTTAAATTAGCTGCATAAGTAATATTCATTACCACAAGGAGAGGTGTCCACGATGATGACAATGACATACCCCATTTCAATTTTAGCTGTAACACAAAGACAAGAGTACCATACAAAGCCTGATCTGTGAATCATTATCTGCCATATCTGACCTGCAAAGGCAAAGAACATCCCAGCAGGCCGGAGCAGGTAGTCCCGCCCCTTCCCGAAAGAGAAGATGACACAGAGGGTGCCCAGGATCATGAAGAAAAGACTGAAGATGGCGATGGCTGCTGCTGAGATATTGTACTCTGAGGAGGGGTTTAAGAAAAGGGTAAATATATTTGGATGGATGTGAAAGGAAACAAATAGGGATAGAGAAGACGCAGAAATAAAAAAACAGTGAACAGTGAGGAGGCACGAGTGAGTGAGAAGAGAGGAAGAGAGACGGCAAAGTGGTAGCGGTTCAATATTGATAGAGTGGGTAGGAACATAAGGGGAAGGTTGCACTATCGTTTACATAATAATTGTTTCAATATTGCACTCAGACGAGTTATGACACAGATAATTAGCCTTTAAATTAGCCTCACTTTAAAAACAACAGACATTTATCCAAACTGGCTATAATGCCATTTGCATGACAGATAAGATCCTGCGGGCTTATAACAGGATGATTACAACATCTCTCTCTACCTCTCTCTCTCTCTTCCCGCCTGCCTCCCCTCCTGTCTCTTTGTTAGATAAAGATCATCTACTCTATCCTTCTCCCTAACACTCCAACTGTGATAGAAATGATCCTCGGAGCAAAGCACTCCATTTCAGCCCCCCAGACTGTGTAAAATAACCTTACACTCAGTATCTCAAGTGTAGGTCTGTAGTGTCTGTTTGAGGACTGTTTGCCTGTGTGAGTATGCATGTGTGTCAAAGTCTCTGTGGATGTTTTTATGCATGTTTTTGCTCAGTCATGTTCACTTTTGCATTGTGTGTTATCTTCCATCAACAGATTTTCAGGCAGTACAAAATTTATTTTATTTTTTGTATTTTATTCTATGTAATACTTTCTCCTGGTATATACTATGATTTTCTGTTGTGAATCTATCCTGTACATCAAATGCATGTCTGTCCGTTCTTGGGAGAGGTATCCCTCTTCTGTAGCTCTTCAGGTTTCTTCCATTTTCTTCCCTGTTAAAAGGTTTTACTGGGAGTTTTTCCTCATTTGAATTGATGATCCAAGGACAGAAGGTGAAGATTGTAAAGCCTTGCTGACCTTGACCTTGCTGTTTTTTTCTGCACACCATGTTTCGCTTATATATGTTGTTATAGTATAGACAGTGAATTGAGGTAAAGGGATATAATTCTTTCTCCATAATATTCTGTGTCTTACGTTATGCAGTGAATGTATGATCCTGCCGACGTTGTACTATGTATGAAACACTGTATAATATGTCTTCACTGATTTCACCAAGACGTAACCGTGTTCTATACATCTGCTGCAATCTGAAAAGGATCTGTAATTGCCTGGCTTTATGAGCTGTGTGTTCCCTCGTGCTTGCCTGTGTGTTTGTCTGCGTTTGTCAGAAGCTATAAGGGTCAGCCAGCCAACATAGGAACAGAGGAGCTGTTTCCTGGAAATACTTTGCCACAGCAGGGAAGATGAGAAGATGAAAATCAAAGGGTATTGGAACAGATATCTTTCTTATCTGATAAGATATGACGGTGTGCATGTGACTGAGTATGTGTTTCCTCATTATATTGACAGAAAAAGAAAGAATAAACCAGACAGCATTAACAGTGACCATGTATTTGAAAACTCTTACATGTGACATACAGGCACATGTTGCGCTTAGATTTTGGGATATGTGATATCTGAGCATATATCCACGAAGAAAATGTTTTCCCTGATGAGAAAAAAATGTAACCATTTCTAGTAAAATAAAGAAATGGTTTCCTCCCATTTTATTTTACTAGAAATGGTTACATTTTTTTCTCATCACAGACAGACAGTTTGGTCTGAAAAAAACAACAACCTGGATCTGTTTTAACATGTAGTCTGGGTGGCAGTGAGGAGGCACCCACCTTTCTGGGTCTTGACTTCAAAAACTTCAGCTTCTTCCCCCGAGGTAAAGTGTTTGAAGTAGGAACAGTTTTGGGCTGCAGAGAGAGAGAAGAGGATGAGAGCGAGGGGGTGAGAGAGTGATAGACAGAGGGCAATGAAACATGAGGTGGAGAAAGAGCAGCTGGCTCAGGTTGTATCTGTAGCTCTGTGTGTCTGCACTACCAAATCAATGTAAAAATTCTCTCAATGGATGCAAGAAGGGACCTAACAAATGCACTGAAATTAATGAGATGCAAACTTATGAAAAAAAGTAAATATTGGTTTATTAATGTATTTATTTTAGCCTGGAGTTATGGCTTGGCCTGTCACTGCTAGTTTAGTTTAAAAGTAATTAGATCATCATACATTGTTCAGATCTTAATAAACCGTATGTCTTACATTTCTAGAAACTGTACATCTCTGACTAAAATAAATTTCTAGAATTGAAATTATCCATTTGTATGCTCACAATTTTGAAGCAACATATCATTTCTAGATCTGTAAAGAATGTGCAAGTTTTGCACTTCCTCTTTGGCTGTTTCATCAGATGTACATTCAACACCGCCTCCAAATCACAGCAGTGTTCTGTGCCTTGCTGTCATCCAAAAATAAAATATCTTAAAGTCACTATCCTCCATGTTGGCTGTGTTTACTTTTTCAGTTCACACCCATTTCTACACAGGGATCATACATTTCTGCTTGCTTGCCCAAGCTCTAGTCCTTTGACCACAATTGTCTATATAACTCCATATAGAAAAGCCATTGACGGGAGCCGTCATTGCCCACACATCAATCTATCTATTTGCTGTCTCTAAGGGCAGCTGAGCTGGGAGGGGGGGTTGGAGAGGACGTAAAGGCCAAGTGAGTCCCTCTTTCCTCCACTCACCATCCTTTCTCGCTGAGATTAAATCCATAAGGCAGACAGGCGCTCTCTGTCCACACAGAGATGCACAATGTTTGTGTGCTGGCGTCTGTGTGTACACCAAGCAGTTCTCATTCCCAGATCGTCAAATACAGACGCTTCGTCAACGCCCCTCTGCCGACTGTGTATGTGTGTGTGTGTACCACGAGCTGGTTGTTACCCAGGATGAGAAAGAATCAAAGAGGTAACCTAGCAACAGGCTGCCGCAGGTCTTGCCTAGTCCTATCTATTTACCCATGTAAAGGCATATCAAGAGGAGTGTGTGTGTATGTGTGTGTGTGTGTGTTTGAGGGAATGGACAGGCCGGTGGTAGGGAGAACCGGAGGCGAGGTCACAGTGCAGCAGCTAGAATCTGTAAATATATTATTTTCATTAGTCTTCATGAGGTGTCTTTACCTCTGGGGCTAAGCTAATCTAAGATAATATGTGTTTGGGTGTAGCTATGAGATTTACTCCAGTCTCTATAAAGACTATGATCAGCCCAACACACAAAGACAAGACAGAAAAACCTTTGTTTTATACAAAGGAAGCTTCAAAAGACTGGACTTGGTATGGCTATGGTTATGCTCGATCCCGATGAATTAATAGGGACAATGTAGAGAGCAGTGAAAGAAAATGAGAGTTAACATAGTGGTTAATATTTTTAGGTTGAGTAATTGACCATTCACTAGCTATGGTCTCTACTGCAATCTCTATCAACTCCTGAGGGATACATCTGGCTCTTTAGCTGCTAAAAGCTCCACAGTGTTCACCAGTTAGTCACTAACTGTGTCCGTCTGCTTCTTGCTGCTGAGCAGGTAGTGTACAGTGGGGTTTTTAGAGCTCTTTAGCTGAAAACAGCTGCGACCTTTAAGCCAGTGAGAGTGAACAAATAGTAGAGTTACTGTAAACCAGAGCAGAGCTGCAGACAAATAAGAAATTAGATTAATCGCTGCAAGCGACCCTCTCATATTGTCCCATTGTTTTCACATCTGATAATTTGATACATTTTTATTGTAAAAATTAGTTATAGCTGGTTTTAGCAGCTGTAGCTAGGTAGTGTAAGCTAATTTAACACTAAAACGTGTTTTCTCCTGCATTTCATTCAAAACGCCAGTAAAAGGGTCTTAAATATGCATTTAATAGCCACATACATGATGTAATGGTAAGAGACTGAGATTAAAGCAGCATGTCACTGGCAAAACATAATTTAAAAGATATGGAAAGAAGCAGCCATAGCACTATAATACAGTATCTTAAATAAAAATGAAGTTAAAATGATTTCTGTTGTAATAACCCTTTTTGAAAGCACTACAGAAAAACATACTTGCAACACAGTGATTAGATTTACGCTTTAACGTTTGTACTTTCAAAGGTTTACCTTCACTTTTATGAGAGAAAATGATTTGAGGATGCGGAAAGTATACTGAAGACTTTAGCTAGCATAGGTGGTTTTCCGCAGTATGGGGTGTCGGGTAAGGGATGGATCCAGGCATTTCACATCAGTTACATTGGCAGAATTAAAACTGCTCTCGTAGTAGCATTACAGTATGTTATGTGATTTCAACGTTTCGATTAATTACAAAATGGCAAATAGCTTTTATAGATGACATATATGGGTTCGACTGCAAATGCACAGGCCAAATCAAGCCTAATGTCAGGGACAGCTCAAAAGTCTATTCTTTAAGTTGGTGCTAAAACAGACAGACGCCAGGAAGAGCAGTTGCCCATTTGGGATTCATCCAAATTATTTAAAATTTTTTACTTCCACTGCCTCAGTATGCTAGGCCAAAAAGTTGGAAAACTTTCACTACCTTTTGTTGCCAAGTTCTGCCTTTATGACACAACATACTGGTGGAGTTTGCTGTTACTCTGTTACTAAACAAACCAAGCTGAACTACAATTTGGAAGCATCATAAACAATCACGTTTTGTAATGAATGTAGAACACACTGCTCTGAAATGTTTAAAAACAAATCTTTAACTTTAGACGGTGAGCATTAACTGAGGAAGAGAACATCTGGGTCGTATAATTGGCCTTGCTGTCCTGCTAATGGGGGGATTTAGTTCTGGGGGAGAGTGATTAGAACGAAGTATTGCCTGCCATTTTAGTTTCGCCTATTTCCATTAAACTCTGCTGCCCCCTCCTCTCCTTGATATGCAGCTTCTCCTTTCCTTGCTCTCCATCCTCCTCTTTCCAGCCTTAGACCTGTCTCTCTCTTCCGCCTAAACTTTCTCTTTCATTATTTTCTTTTGCAGTTAGTTTCTATGTCCCTCCTTCCACATTTCCAATTTTATTCAAGAAATGTTTAGAAAAACATGAACTAGCATCAAACACTATTGACTTTTAATTGAATTATTATGGTACGTCTTTGTTTTTACCTATAATGACAAATGCGCATTTGATCTTGAAAATCACTTCTGTATCTTTTGCAGGAGCTACAAGATGGGTTTTTGAGGTGATAGGAGGGGGGGCTGTTCTTTTTCTAGCCACGCAGAATGACCGAATTCTGGGTCAATGTGAATAGGATGGGTGGTGGTGGTGGTACTTGAATGGCTATTCCACAAGGACCTCTGATAACCGGGACACAGCAGCACAGGAGAGTCTTCACGGCCTGATCTCGTATGTGCGTTTATGTGTGTGTGTGGCCTGACCTTTATCATTAAATTCAAAACATTTAGTTTTGACTTTCATCATCTCAAACATCCCATTCTGTAACTGATGGCAGGAGTTATCTCTGCATTTCCTGTTATGTATATTATGTGGAGTGATTCATTCAAATTTTGAACCTGATACTTGTTTTCTGAATGCCAATTGAGCACCACACCTCCACAGTTTTGGCTCTGCACCCAGAGCAGGAACCTGGCACACTACAGAGTGAAAATGGTGGTTCAAGGTGACATCAGTGCTTTTGAGGGTTTGAATTGGGGGCGCAAGAGGAGGAGGACGTTTTATTTTGAAGGTGCAAGTGCTCTGGTGTTAAAATCTTTCCACTGTAGGACTAGAAAAGTGATGTTTGACCACTTGGAAGCTCTAAAACATCTCTGATTATAAACACCTCTTCCTGGCACACATGCACACAAAAGCACCATTTATGCTCTTTATTTCCCAGCCGAGCAGCATGATGTGATCCATAAAGGGTTTGTTTGATTTTTACAGCACTCAAGCTGTCATGCGTCATTTGTGGGAAGCTAATTTCAAAAGTCATTTTGGTTCACCGCTTTGCTACCGTTGTTATGCAACCACACAAACACACAAAAGCAGTGTAATTGCGCCTATATGAAAAAGTGTTTGTGTACGCGCCTCTTGTCGACTAATTCCCCCTCTGTTTGGGAAAATGCAAATGTGTGTTATTAAGTCCAATCACCGCTGCTTGCCGGGGTATACTGTTCGTGAAGGATGTAATATGTTAAAGTGCACTCTCTACCAACTCGGGTTTTTTGCTTGTGTGCTAAACACTTAACCCACAACACACGTTAAATTGAGAAGCAGACAAAGTGACGCTGGTGTGGTGTTGTTAGCCAGTCAGCCACTTCATTACGCTCTAAACTCAGTGGCCAGTGACTTTTGTAGATCTATCAAAAACAGTATTAGAGTTATCTTTGACTCCAGAACCTCACAAGATGATGCATCCTACAACATGAAGGTAAGAAGTAGATGTTAATGATGATGATAGTGGTGATATATTGTTGTGGTATTGTAGGTTGAGTTCTGGAGTATTCAATCTATGGGAAGAGTCAAAATGACTTTTTGATGAAGTCCATGTTAAGAGGCGTTAATGTTGTTAACAGGTTGCCTGGCTTGTTAAGTGCAAACACTGACTCATTAAAAAAAAAACACCTGTGAATTTATCACATGTGAAACACTATCTTACATTTGAAATTTAGACACATAGTGTGCAATCCAGCCAAGCCTTCAGTACTCAGGCACGCTGCCACTCCTGATATCACTCTATCAAGTAGAAAGCAAATGGCTGAAGCCAGAGAGTGGCTGTATTTTTCTCAGGTCCTCTCTGCTGTCAGATCGCACCAACCTGGCAGACTGAATCAGACTGACCTACTGGGTGCCAGCAGCGAACACACCTGTTGAGAAGAAACCTGTAGACGCCTTTTCTCAGTCACTGGAGAAGGACTACCACCTTCGCCTGGTGAGGATGGTCACCGAAACCCATTTTCTGAACAAGAAACTGTCATCCTCACATTATGTGGGTGTACTAGACGGCACAGAGGAATAGGACTTACACACCAACACACTCACAGATCCATTTCTGACAGCACCAGGGCCACAAATGGAGAGAGATGGGCTTGTATAACTAAACTATTGAGCCTGGCGTAGGAGCAAATGGCAGAGCTGCGTAGCCATATCACTAGATATTTTATGGTAATATCAGAGAATGACTCATTTACCTTCATATGACAAGTGTTGAAACACTACTGTGGTTGTGGGAATGTAGCCAAGGGGGTCTCTGACAAAACAGCTGCATATTTCTCACAGCACACTCTGACAGGTGGCAGCAGACTAAGGGAGGGTGGAGCCCTGTGCGCTGAGCTGAACTCCCTTTGCTGCTGGAAGTAAGACAGGTGAGAGCCATCTGACAACTCTAGTCTGTCAGATGGCTTCTCTCTTGTCATCCCTGTCCTTTGCAGGTCGCGTTGCGTTTCACAAAAGCAGTTGGGACTCTGAAAAGATATGACAGTTTTACTGCTGCTGTCAGGTTGTGGAGGTCTCAAATGGATCGTTCATCATATCTGAGTTTTGAGTCGGTCAGCTACAGTATGCTCTTCATACATTCCACAGGTGATTGACCTGTGTACGGGGATAAAATATCTCCAACCACTGGTCTTAACAGATAGAAATTTCGGTCCACATATTACAAAAAATGTTGCAGTGTTTATATTGCTTTCCCATATTTGTATTTGTATTTTTTAACTACAAGTGTACATTTATTATTATCTTTCCATCTTATTTTACATATCTGTATAAATATATACATATGTTTTATGTACATGTTTCCCATGCCATTAAAGCCCCACTGAATTGAACTGAACTGAATTTACACCAAGAAGATGCTCTGGAGGCCCTCGTCACATCCTTATGTCAGGCAGCTGTCACAACTCTTGCCTGTCAGCTCTCTCTCTAACAGCCCTCTTTTTCTGGTTCTTACAACATGTAATACTTGAAACAGTATCACCTCCCCCCACTGAAAGACCCCCTCCGGCTTTGGACACTGTAAATGTGCTCCCCCTTTCCCCGTCAACAGAGGCATCCCTGCCTCTTTCCACTCAAGCAGACTTCTGTTTTCTTCGCCAATCCCCTTCATCCCTCCTGAGTCTCCCAGGTGTACTCTAACTCATGAGTTGAAGCGGGAAGCCACACTTCATTAAGTCCTGTACTGATCCTGAGGTGCTGGAGCTGAAGGCTAAGTCAATGACAGAGTCAGAGTGAAATATCTCTGTTACGCTGCAAGGCACGCACACACAGCCAGAGGCCAGCGAGACACTGTTTACCCCCAGGGCTGGCTCTGTTCTAGAGAGCTTGTAATTAAAGCTACACGGCCATTTTGAAGAAGTAGAGTTTTGAATACAAGACAGAAGGCCTTTGACTGACTTTTTGGGGGTTTACTTACTGTATGTAATGTCATGCAAGAAGCGGAAAGAACTTTTTAAATGGACTTGTAGGTCAAAGATCACTTTTCTACATTTTGACACAGATTCTGCACCAGGCAGTCTCTTCCACTTTTTAGATTTACTTTTTTTATACCGTGTAATTGAGTGAGAGATTGCATTTAAATATTGTGTAAACCAGGGTTTATCAATGGCATCAGAAAAGACTGCTTGAATTAGGTGCATGCATTCTCTTAAGGCAGTCTTGTGTCTGGTTTGATCAAAGCCAACGTCAGTTCTGCTGCTGTGAAACTGTGAGCCACACTGAACAAGATACGTAGAAGTTAATAGCATCTTATGATCTTACATTTTTGTATAGAGAGTCAGATTCTCAGTGCTGACAAATGATGCAACACTTCCTGTTGTGATCTGAGAAATCACGCAAAAAAAAAGGGTTAAAGAAAATTTAGAGGTAAAATGGATTTTATTCACATGTTACATGGAGAGTCCATCAGCCCAGACAGAACGGATTCATGTTTACGTCATGTTAACTGTCAAGCATAGCAGGAAAACTCTTCAATTACACACTTGACTTCAGCTGTTCGACTGTGCTTAATTGGCAGTCTGTTCAGAGACTTCCTCTGTGGAAGATAATGATAGTTCACCGAGAAGCTGGCCATAGAACTGTTCATTCAGTCCAAACACACATCTGTGTGTGTGTTTGTGTGTGTGTGTGTGTGTGTGTGTTTGAGGAGTGTGCCTTTGTGTGTGAGAGGAGAAAAAAAGAGGAAATGACAGACACACAGATGGAAGGCTGAACAAAATTGCTCTTAAGTACAGACACTTCAGCCTCAGACTCTCTTTTCCTCCTTTACCTCCACTGAGACTGTACGATATTGTCAGAGCAACAACATTTTTGGTGTGCCAAGATTTATCAAAAAAAATTTAAAAGTTTGTTTTTTTCTGTTTCTGGTGCATATAAAGGGCTTAATCATGGGCTTAAAAATGCAAAGTGATGGCAAAGACACCAGTTTTGCATAGCTGAAACACACATATGTCAAAGTCAAGAATGAATTCTAACTGTGATAAAAGTAAGTAGACAAATGTGGGGCAGCTGTGGCTCTGGTGGTCCAGGCTGCATGTCAAAGTATCCTTGGGCAAGATACTGAACCCCGAATTGCCCCTGGTGGCTGTTCTGCCAGTGTGTGAATGTTAGTTTCTGTTTGAGCACTTAGGCTCAGGGAATGAATGGTGAATGCAGATGTAGTGTAAAAGCGCTTTGAGTGGTCAAAAAGACAAATACAGAACATTTACATAAAAGATACCACCGTATACAAGTCCATTTTTTTCTGTTGTTTTTGTCAGTTTTGACCTGTATGTTTACATAGATGCATAAAACAGAAATGCAGTATAAAGATTTCTTTACTTTCCACCAACAAAAGTCTATTTTCCCCTTTCTCTGTCTTTCTACAATGATCCACATGACAAACTCCCTTTGATGACAAATAGAAATGTTGAGGCCATACATAAAGTTTGTCACCTTCACGTGTACCTTAATCATGAGCACAGCAAAAAGCAGGTTTTTATTCAACAACAACAGTAAGATCAAGAGCCTCCATACCTCCAGGTAAGCTGATGGGGCCGCAGCCTTTGCCCTGAGGGTCCTCCTCCACAATGAAGATGCTCTTCTTGCAGAGCCTCCAGAGGCCAAAGTGGGCCGCCTCGCAGGTGGCATTGAGCTTCTCCACCCGGGGGCTGAGCACGGCCCAGTGGTCAGTCACCACCGCCGCCAGCATCGACGACATGCCCACCACGATCACCACGGACGTGATCTTGACCTTGGTCGCCTGCTCCTCAAACATGTTGCTGCACCGGTGTGTATGTGTATGTGTGTGCGCGTGCGCGTGTGCGCAGAGTTATGGATGTGTTTGCGTGCGCGTGCCTGTGGTTGCACGTGTGTACGCGTGTACAAGCAAGTGAGATGCTAGTGTGTGTGTGTGTGTCTGTGGAAAGGTAGAGTGTGCGTGAAAAGACAGTCAAGGTTGCCTTTGTCTTGTGTGTCTTCAGTTCCTGGACGTTGGATGTTGACTCCAGAGGTTCCCCCGTCTTGTCTACAGCTTCACTACACTACTTCTGATGTCCTCTCCTCTCTCACTGCTCTCCTGTCCACAGCTCTGTCTTTCTCTGCCTTGTGCCTGGTGCTTGGTAAAACGGGGCCAGATAACAGTGCCCTAGTTTCTACCTCTCTTCCTCTCTTCCTCTCCCTCCCTATTTGCCTCTGGTGGGCTAAGGCCATTTAGCCTCGGGATAGAGATGCACTGGGAAGTGCTTGCACCTATTACACCTATTTGTCAGGTCAAGATCAGACGCTTTCATTTAAAGTTTAGACACAGTGTATTGATTGTGAGTGTTCCAGTTGTGCACAAACTTCCAGCAAGTTTCAACAGTGCTATTCGATATTTCATTGCCATGCCAGATACTGATCTGATCTGATATCAATCTACCGTTGATCGGGAACATTCTCTGTCACATCTCTTTTATAATCTTATGCAGTCCGATTGTTTTCCAGCTCAATTGTCTCGGGCACTGTGTGTCAGAGGACACCTGGGGGGGAGATTTCCTTTATTAGTTGTTGTCTGAATGTGCTGATCTACTTACCCAGCCAATCAGCAGTTAAGGCTTGAGACAAGGGTCCCAACTGATGCCAGCAGCTGATCCAGATTCAGGAAAGACAAAAAAAAGGGCTTATAGGAACTTTAAATATGCTTGGCAGCACTGTAGAGAGAGTTGTTGATTTTTAAAAACATATTACTATATATATTTCTGTGTTTAATGAATTAGCCCATATGTTAACTTTTGAAGATCTAAAAAAATCAAACAAGTGGCTGTGACGTACTGCAGGCTGCACATGAATGTTTGATTCCTTTTTATAAACCAACATCTTAAGACTTTAAATTTTATCTTTAATGATATATTTAAATAATAATCTGATTCGGAACACAAATGGTGTTGACGGCTTTACTAAAAATTGATATCACGCAATTTGAGGATGGGGGAAAAAAACAGCAAAAACCTGCCACATCTCAAAGGCACAATCAACCTTTTCCCTATGAAATACTTGAGTAAATGGGCACGCTTTTTATAAACCGCAGTGCCCCACTTTAGACAGGACTCTGGCCCATTTTCAGCTCTGACAACGCTCAAGCAGCTCTGGGTTTTAAACACAAGAAATGGCAAGGCATTTAAAGAGCTAGAGGTAAAGAGAAAGTCTGTCAAGAGAATGCAAGATACAATGCTGAAACGTGTTTGTGTCTGTGAGAGTGTGAGAGTGTAAAACAGAGAAAGAGAGGTTGTGGATTGTTTGTATACAACTGTGTTCATGTATGCAAAAGAAGCACCACAGCATTATACTTTTTAGAAAATGAATGCAATGTGCTTTCTGTAAACCCCATCAGTAGCTAACTGAACCAGGAAATTGATCATTAAAGAGAAATCATCTCACTCACTAGCTTAAAAGATACCCCATGCTGAGGGGGTTGAGAGGAGATGAGAGACAGTTGTGTTCATTATCAAGTTACACCTGGCTGCATTTGCAGCAAAAGTGCCTTTTCTCCCAGAGGACAAATCCCTTGCTGAGGCTGTGAGTGCTGCCGCTTGTCTCTAAGAGTGTAATAATAGTGTCTTTCAGTGAAGCCTGTCTTACTGGGTGACCCTCTGACCTGTTTCATTTGCTCACGGTCCCCTGGTGACTTGCGGAGAGACCAAACACCTTTCAGCTGCACAGTCTCCAAGCAACAGCCACCAGTGTGGATGACTGTGGCAGCATGTCATCAACGATATCAGTGTGTCATACTGGAAGGATCACCTCATGACTGCATTTGGCAAGAAGGCACCTCACCTGTGACGGACATTCGCTGGATTGCCATCAACATGACCAGGAATATTACTGGCAAGCTGTCAGTGCTGGAACTGTTAGAGCAGTGAAACATACAAAATCACATCTGCTGAAATCAGTATTGACACATCTAAACTCAGCAGTGATTAACAGCGATTACAGCTGCCAGCTTCCCTTGTTAGACTTTTCATTCTAGGGTGAAAAACAACATTTACTGGTGGCTAATTTTACACATAGCAGAATAGATTGCACTGCCTTCAGAGGGACCCGACTGTATTCATTTGCTAATGGCAGGCAACATTACTCAATCTAAATTAGATTACCCATGCCCCGAGGCCATTTTTATGAGGGTCATAATAATATTCTTCTCTAAAACAACGGGATCGGTGATGCCGTCCGCAATCATTTGACCCAGCAAAAAGCTTTAGCTGTCGATCTACATGAAGCAGGAGGTCAGGTTATGTGGGACGGTGAATTGTGAGTTAATGAGCACACATTGAAACGAAATGAAATTAGGTGGAAACTACAAGGGGCTGATGTAGCGGTTGTATGGCAACATCAGTTATTACTGTCAAAAGATAATTTCCCCAGCTAGATAAACAGCTCTGTTTCCCTTTTGTGCCAAAATTAAATCTCACCAGCATGATTACAAACTGTATATCAGACAGGGCAATGTAGTTGTTCTCTCATATGAGGCACGCCATACCTTACTGCATATGCTTATCTAAGTAGTGGTACTACTAATAGAGAGTGATCTGTGCTTTTGAACTATGCAAACAGAAACTGCAATATAGGTGATATTCTGCTTTACCTTGCTGGTTCATAGCAGACCAAACACAGAGACCTTCAAAAAGCAGGAACAAAAAAAGAATTTATTACTGTAACATGGAAAAGCATTCATTCTTCCTTAAGAAGTAAAAACATGTTAACTTAGCAAAATAATTGAACTGCTGTTCTTTTCTTCAATATATATATCTTCAGTATATTTATGAAATTCACACACACATTGAGAATATAGGGGTTCTTTACCCACTTACTGATTCAACAAGGTGACTGTTGGGATTTTAAAAAAGGCTTTATTTGATCAGGTGGCATCTCTCTGAGCAGCTTTTTAACATTTTGATCGAAGAGTGCTGCCATCAGCAAGATGCCAACTGAGACTCCGTGGTTGAAATGGCTCATAGCTCACTCTGAGATGACAGTGATTCAGTGTTATGCAGCCAAACTGAAGAGGCGTTCAGGACTCAGAGAAGGTCAGCTACAAAATTCTGATTGAAGCACTGCAATCAAAGGTCTTCGACGGAAATCAAGCTCCATTGACATGAATGCTTATGGCTGTAATTATTTGGCCTGAATCCTATACATTTTGTATACATCTGTATATGTATTTTTTATGCATAGCAGGAGGGTTGTCCTGTTAACATTACATTACATTACCAGATGTGTGGCTTTTTAGCCATGCTAACAACATAGCATCATCAGTCTGTTGGTCGCTTGATCTACTACTTCCTGACTGAAATATCTACAACTATTGAACAACTATTGGATGGATTAAAATGTCTGTACAAAATAAAATGTTGTACAGACATTCACAGTCCTACTGACTTTGGTGGTCCCCTGATGTTTCCTCCAGTGCCACCATGATGTAAAATTTTGAGTTTGTCCAATACTTTGGTTTATGACAAAATACCTGCAAAACAAACATCAGCTGTACTTTGTGTTAAGCGCTTATTAACAAATGTTAGCATACTAACACTCTAAACCAGGCCTATTCAACTGGATAAATTCTATTTACAAATAAATACAATTTAAAATCTGAATGGAAAAAAAATCACATGAATAATAGACATTTTTGCAATAAATCCTTCAAACTAGCAGAGCACTCATGTGCTGTCAGTAACAGCCAATAGCAAACATGCATTATTGATTATGAAAGCCCTCCTTTACATGCTGCTGTTCTGGCCCATGAATCCCATGAACAAACACAAATGCTCGTACCTCCTTGACAAATGAGCATTACTGTTTGCGGATTGCTCCCACTTCATATGACCTTCTCTTCCATCACTAAATCAAAAAATTGCAATCGCTCTCATTAGTAGCCTATAGGTGTGCAGGCTAGGCCCATCTGTGTTTTCGGATTTGTGAGGGTTATATTGGAGAATATTGAATGGATGTGGTGCTGGTTAGCTGATGATTGTCTGTTTAAAATAAGTGAAATAGTTAATTGAAGATGGAGAAGTAGACAGAAAACATGAAAGAAGGTTATGAATGTTTACAGGAAATGCCGTGATGTAGGTAAGAGATGTCAGAATTTACCAAATTATATGCAAAATGGCTGGCAGGATGTGTAGGCAAAGAAAATATTAAATACTTGGCCTAATTAGTTGAAGATGAAGAGACTTATTTATTATCTTTTTTAGTTTTTGATTGAGCTACTTTTGCAATCTAACAAAAAAAAAGCTTTGAAAATGTGGTTGTGCGTTGTGTATGGATGCAGAAAATGCAATAAAGATAATATTCTGCTTTTCCTTTCAGCATGTTAGTGTTGTCTTTGCGAGCATGTTTGCATGTTGATGTTAACATTTACCTCACAGCACCACTGGGCCTCACAGAGCCCCTAGCATAACTGTGGACTTTTTGTCTTGTTGTAAAACTGTAAAAGACAAAGCACAACAATATAACCCTGATTTAGTTTATTTGTCTATGTACAGTACGTGTTGGGTTGTAACTGGAAAGCGATGATGAGAAAAACAATTTAGGTTCAGATGAAATAAAAATGCTTGTTTGATTGGAACACTAAAAGCAGGAAATACAGTATACAGCACATTTACAGTTTCTTTCCCCGTGTTTTTTCTATTATGCAACCAATTAGCGCCTCCCTTCTAAACATCCGTAACGTCCACCGTTATTGTCTTGTGCTTATTGAGGTTATTTTACAACAATAGTAAGCCAAAAATGAATATTACAGCATATAGTGAAGTAAAGCTGCTGCATACGCATGAAATAGGAAATCTAGTTTTGTCTGCTAAATGTATTTATTGTACTTCACCTTACAAAACAGAATATTTAACTAGTTTGACTGATAACAGCAAAACCAGTGAGTGCTTACCTGAATACAGAATGGTAAGTTGAATAGCATGACCAATGCCATATCGCATCAAGGCATTATTATTGAGACATTGTTCAGTAAAATAATGGTTTGAATCCTCTGCTCATGTCTTTGCACATTCACATTGTTTTTTTTTCTTTTTTGTATTTTTTATTGTACTTTTATATACAACTTTACAGCTTTACATTACAAACAAACACATTTTGATATTTTCCCCAAACTGTAATATAAAAGATCTAGAGTCTGGATGGATCATACTGACGGCTTTCTTTTACATCTGCTCAGCCTCACATATTAAGTGGTGTCTCTAATGGAATATCAAACACACTAAATACAATCAAATACTATTCTGTGGTTGAGTGAGTGAGCTCGCCAAACCCGAACCATCTGAATAGCCCTAAGACTGAAAAAAATCACCCCAGCTGGTTCTTGGAGCAAGTTCAAACAATCACTCACAGCATTTACTAAATACAGAAATGGCATTTTTTTTTTCTCAACTCATTTTCACCAGGTTTATCTTTATCACTGGTCCATTTCCCAGCACTGCCATGAAGTAGGGAGAGGACCTCAAAGTGTTCAACCTGCCACAAGAATACAATATTTCCTGAGAGAGCCAAACAAAAGAGCAGTGATGGACGACAACACACATACACACACACACACACACACACACGTCTGGTTGCTGGAGACAAATCCTTCAGGGACGCAGTTACAGACAGCTCCCTCTGCTTCTGTCTGGGTCCTCTGTTTGACATGAGAGGCTGGAAAAGGCAACCAGATGCACTCACAGGCAATGTGACAGACGGACAAACATTCTCCGCCTGGCTCAGATCCATTAAACACTCTGGATATGCCAGGCTTCATTTTGAGCAAAAGGAAGTCCTGACCTGCGCCATTTTCACAGTTCTGGGCACCCCCCTTTTTGTCAGCTGCTGTTCTGCTGTGACACAATGTCACATCCATCAGGGGGTGTGATGGAAGGATGGCGGACTGATATGAAGTGAATAAAAAGGGGCCAAGGTGTTTCACTGACAAAAGGGGACATTTTGTTCCTCTGACAAATGTCAGACAAGAATAGGATTAAGGACGAGGCAGCGAGGGAGACAAAACCTTTCATATCATCAGTAGGACTGGATGGTCGACTTGTACACTAAGCTAAAATACTAAACATTCAATACAACTCAGCAAGTCAATCATTTGTAAACACACTGACTCCCGCGCAATACTCCCATAAAAAAAGACGTGTTAAAAATATTTATAATTTGAGTTTGTTTAAAAGGCCGTACATTATTTAAAATGACAGTACTGAGAGAACCTATGATTAGAGTATAAGGCAAGAACAAACTGGTTATGAGGACACAATCCAAACTTTGGCGAGAGGTCGACACTTTATAGCAATTGCACACACAAATGGAACACTTTCAAGTTGAAGGGTACATTTCATTTAGCACCTTGTTAAATAATTTACAGGTAGAATACTGCTGATTGGCACCTCTCAACACTTCACTCTCAAGTTTACCCACAATGTTCAGTCACCATTACACAAAGAAGGGCTGTGATCCACAAACTGCTCATATAAATAAGCATTTCGACAGCTGAAGGAAAACAAAATTTCGCATCGGGCACAGCACAGACAATGTAACTCTGCTGTGATGATCCCTAAAAGCAGATAAATGACTCAGGTTCTGTTAATTGGCTCATCTTCTGTCCAGCTGATTGTCCTCTCTTCTCTGGCTCTAACAGATTGTGTCCTGTTCATCCACTTCCAGGTGAACCGCGGGCCCAGTAATGTGCCTCTCACACTGGTGTGGTCCTGCGATTCACTCCGTCCTTTAAATCATTGGGGAAACAGTTATGAACCTGGAGGAAATCGGCAGCGGCCTCGTGTTCAGGGCTGTACGTGTTTTCCGTCACACTGTCCCTCGCCAGGGCGTACATGGACAGCTCGTCCAGGGGCCCACTGGAAGATGGCGCCCTCTTCAGACCCACCACTGGCGAGTTCTCCTGCGATGCCTCCGTAGAATGAGAGCTGGCACGCGATGTCCGCCTACGGTAGCGGAAGCTCGGTATCCTCGAGTATGGGGAAGAGGAAGAGAGCGTGCGGATGAATTCACGCCGTGCCCTCCAGCGAACCTCCTTGTTTCTCTCAATGTAGATGTTGATAGCAAGGACCGCCACAGTTTCGGCCACGATGAAGGAGAGGGCGCCAAAGTAGAAGGACCAACCGTAGGAGTAAGTGTACTTCTTGTCATCATCACGTTTATCATTGGGGTCTCCGGCATTGCTGGAGATGTAGACGATGATGCCAATTATGTTGCTCAGACCTGATAAACAAGAGAAATAAAGAAAAAAGAAGTAGAAACAGGAAAAAGAAACTGTTTGATTCAGTCACATGGGATGAAATAGTCTAAAAAAACAAGGCAGAAAAGTGAAAATGTGAAGGAACATATAAGTGATCCATGACATTATCCAGTAACCACAATACCCATGAACTCCCACTGTGTTGATAAGTTGTTCATCAGCCAATGATTACAAGACTCTAATCACTACCGAGGTCGTTAATGACATGGGTCCTCATCACTTGTGTGTGAGGTGTGTGATGAATGGAGATCCTGACCTTCAATACCGAGTTCATCTTTATGATTGCACCACTGATGAAGTGCAATATGTGACCACAGGTGCCACATCAGGCTTGCCATTTTTCATTTTAAAACCGCAGCTCTTACATGATTACTCCTGGTTGGGAACACGGTCGACAGTGTAATCCTCCAGCTCACCTGCAGCTACAAAGAGAATGCCTGCGCTGAGGAGGACGTTGTTCGTCTTGTTGTAGACTCGGCCCACCCCGACACACATCCCTCCGAGCATCAACAGGCAGGTACTGAGGATGGGGAACACGCTGGAGGCACGAACTATACCTGCGGTGACGGAGGAGGGAGCACATGGCAAAGAGGTCATTAATTGGGTAAGTAATTAAGTCAATGTAAATGGTTTTAACACAATTCATTAATCAATATTTGATTGGACAAAAGAGAAGGTGGTTAGTAAAAGAGGAATACAGATTAATCAAACCATCAATCAAATTAAAAGGCAATTTATAGATAAAATTACATTATAAAATTACACACACACACTGTTTTAAAAAAGAATATGGACTCTTTTAAATAAGTAGAATTTCCATTATCCTGTTGAGCCCTCGTCTATCCAGTCCCACCTCTTCTCTCGTCCATTTTTTGAGAACTCCATTATCTTTTATACTTTGGGGCCTTGTTGTGATAAAGCTTTGCTAATTAGCTGTGGGACGTAACAAGAGCTCTCAATGACTATCACCTCCCCAGAAATGAATCACTGTGCCATTTTACAAGTGTCCAAGGATGGATGAGCTCATTCAACTGTAAAGTTGAATACGCTAATGGACTGAGTGTGGACTTTGTCCAAAGTCTGAAAAGTCTTCTTTGTTCTTTTCTGCCTATTAGTCAGATACTGAATGTGCCTTAAATGAAGGTCCTCTGCTGATTGAATATTCCCATTTTATATCAAACTAATTTCAATCTATGTACAAGCTGTGCCATTTTCATTTTTAACCGGTTTTCATAGAAATATACAAACTTTTATGTTGCAAGAAGACTCTTCACCACAATTTAGAGTAAACAAATTCCTCTTGTGGTGAGCACAGCCAATAATGTAATACAGGGTAGAAGAAGATGTAATTAAGAAATTTATTATTTGCCCTGCAAATGTTACAGCATTTTTCATGCCTATAAAAAATATTTCTTAAAATTTTAATAAGCAAATAATAATGAGCTTTTTCTATGTTTGAGCTCCAAGTCTGAAACCACAGTGCCAAGCTACCTTATGTGGGGTTGGAGCGAAACTGATTTGCAAATAAGGAACATTTCATTCAAGAATGAGAGTAAATTAAAACTCTTTTGAAATTGGGAGAATACGACCTCACAAACTGTCCCATTATATAGCATGTAAGTATTGCTTTAAAATACTTTGTCTATGTAGATTCTCAGTCATCCAGGTCATAGTTATCCAACGAAGGTTAAAATCAAGGGCGACTGGACTTGGTTGAAGATACTGGAAGACGTTTCGTCCCTCATCCAAAGGACTTCTTCAGTTTGAAATACTTTGCAAGAGGAGTCAGACATCCCAACAGACAAAAAAATAAATAAATGAAAAATAGCATGCATGCCGTCACATTCCTCAGCTGCCTTTGTTCTGCATTTTTTCAGTCTCTGCATAAAAGAGAACTGCCTGTTTGGAGACTGCTCTCAGAACCAAATAATAAGACTCTGAAGGTCAGTGGACTTACTGCACACCCTTAAAAGTAAAGCACAGACAGCCCTCACAATGCCAGACAAAGAGGACGAGTGGGGAGCACTTACGCAGCAGGTATTCAGAGCTATCAGTGTCGTAGTCGTTGTCGTCGGGGAAATGGTTGATCCTGTAACAGCTGCCTTGATTGATGCCTGCAGGAGAAAGACAAGCACAAAGAGTCTCCATATAAACAACAACAATGAATTATATATAGTCCACCTTACACATCAAGGTGCTATAACAGTCTGATACATGTCCAGCAAACAAATACATGCATTCACCGCCTTTTGAGGTAAGCTGAAGTTAAACTGGATGTATTTGATGCTTGGGGGTTATAGACCTTTCATGTGACTCTATCAAACTCCAGTTGGCTTCAGCTTGTTAAAGGATGTGTGGAGCCACAGTTGCTCCCTACCAAGTGACCTGTTTTCTTTTGTTAAACTGTGTCCACTGGAGTAAGACACTCGTGTGCTCTTGTCTCTGATGAGTTTTAACAGTGCTGCTTCTTCAGAAAGAAGAGGCAAAAGGAGCAGCATGAAATAGAAAGGGAAACACAGCCCTTCTGATTAATTAAAACTGAACTTTGTCTCCATTCAGGCAATTGGATACCACAATCAGGAAATTGTTATATTCTACTATTTTCCCTTTTTTCTTTCAGTGGTGTATTTGGACTCTTCCTTAGCTTTTGTTGGATGGAATACACTGGACAAAAGCGACATATTCTCTAGGATTAACTTGTTAACCCTAACCCTAACCCCATCTCTAACCACAAATGAAACTTAGACCTTTGACCTAAACTCTTTAAAATCCCACAAACTAAAGATCACAGCTCAAGGAACACATACTAGAGGAAGAAAACCAATTAGGGGAGGTTGTAGTTTGTTTGTTTCGAGGATCAGTGCATACGCTATATAGTGGTGGGATTACGATTGCATTGCCCAGAGGGATTTGATGGGTTGTGGTGGGTATCCAAATCCAGCTCAGGTCAATGATTCATTGCTGAGAGGAACAAGAAGCCGGTCTGAACAACAAAAGACCAATGCCCAAGTGAGTTACAATAGGAGAATGGAGACAGAGAGGTTAAAGCAGAGAGAAACCTGTAGCTGTAATTGAACAGGATTTTAAACAACACCTTGTCTAGAGAGAAAGGGGATGGTGGTAGGGTTAATGGTTGTGCTCCGTGCAGGGGTGGTAATGCAGAGAGCTCTTTGCCTATTCATTCATCATTTGGGCTGTAAATACCCTCAACAACATTCACCAACGGAATTAAAGGTGTGCTGGGCTGTGGCTTAATTTCTTTAACATATTTTAACATGGAGCATATCTATGTTTTTTGTGTGCATTATGTGTTCATGTGCATATTGTCTGCATCCCAGATTAAGGAAAGCAATTGACCATTCACTAAGCTCCCCCAGCCTTAATTACTTTTGCCACGCCTGTCAAGCAATGAGACTTCGATTTCATATAAAGGTGGACAAATGTAGGCTTCTCATTGCTAACCGATTTTGCTAAAATGACATCAGCAACTGGCAGATTTCTCAGCTGTAGCTAGCCATGCTAATTAAGCTAATGTTAGCTCCACGAGTTGGTTTAAAACAGTGTCTTCCTGTGGGCTGACTCATATTAAAATAACAACTCTGTAACAAGGGTCTGTAATATGAGCTTGACAGCTACATACACGATATTGCGCTAAAACACTGATTTACAGCTGTATGTGCAGGGCATTTATAGGAAGGAACAGCTTTGCTCTTGTATTGTGTGACAGATGTAGAACTAGTAAGTTATGGTATTATATGTATGAGAAAAGAAAAACGTACAGTATCTGACTCTTTTTAACATCTAACATAACATTTATACAGAGTTTAACAAAGTGGATGTGCAGGTTGTGAGTGGGACATTTTTTCATGTAACTTATAATGCCACAAACTAGTTAGATAATTAGGTGTACTCATTTTTTGCCCTTGTGTTTTTGGTTTTGAAAGGGATAAAAAAAAAAACCCACCACCCTCCAAACATGTTAGATGCCAAGTATCTTCAGCCCTGTGCACACTGCCTTTAAAATTGAAGAAATCCAAAGCTTGACAAACCTGCTGGGGCTAGTTATGATTGCTTAGCTATGATTGGACAATCACTGTTTGGGAGGAGTGGTTTAGGGAACGTCAATTGGCTCATGTCAAGCTTTACATAAGCAACAAAGACTTTTCCTAGTCCCAAGTAAAAAATGCCCCAATAAGTCTTCTTTTCGTGTCTGATGACCCACCAGGCAACAGAGATTAAAGCTAACCTATCACTACATTTCAACCTTCCCACTGACTGACTGTGCTGAAGACTGACAGACACCTGGCAACTCCATTTCCCAGATGCCAAAGGGTCAACAACCATCACTGTCTGTGCCACAGCTTTTAAGGGCACGCTTGCTTCCATTAACTAGGTCTGGTGCTTAATAAAGGACATCAAATTAATTAGTGTCAAATCAGTCAGTGGAAATGGAGCACAAGTTTCTGTGTCTATTGTCACTGATGGAAAAAAAAAAGGGTGATGGGCTATTTTAAGCAGCGTTATGAGACTTTGTGCCGTGTGAAATAAAACACATGTGGCTCTTGTGGTTAGATCGAGAACTGTGAAGATAACAAAAATACAGACACCTTTGATGTCTTAGTAATTTCTCTGTAAATACTAAATCATGCTGCAGTGCCAGGGCTTGCGGCAGATTTTGTATGTGCATTGTTGTAACAGCGTGTTTGTGTGCTGCTGTCTCTCATTTCAGATACCTCTGTTAGTACACATCCATGTAGCACACTGTGTGCTGAACAGGGTAGTGTTGCATCAAATCAAACAATGCCATCACAACATTTGACCACTTCTTCTTTTGCTTCTTCTTTTAAACCCACTGGTGGCTTGTTTGCTCACCTCACTTCAATACATTTCATTAAAAAATGAATATGCTTTTATCTTTACTTAGTTCTACTATAGCAAACGCAACAGCGGCACCATCCTCTGCCATTTTCAAATTTGACCATCCACTACAACGTAGCCAAGATGGCGACCGTTGAGGGTGAGAAGTGTCCAGTGTGCCACACTCAACATTTACTGTTTACCATGCAGGTACTCATAGTGCACTGTATACTTGTCAGTGTAAGTATGGAAGAGCGCAAAATCTTTTTTCTGAAATGTCAGACTGCTTTTACACTTTTTTTAAAAACTGCACAGAAAAAAACACATCTTTAACTGTGAACACAGAACTACTATTCATTTTGACTTTGACACAATATTCTCCACCCTCTGCCCCCGTCCAGATCTGAGCTACTCCAGCCGGTCTGACGCCTCTGTCTTGTCTCCTCTGTGTGTGTGTGTGTGTGTGTGTGTGTGTGTGCGTGTGTGTGTGTGCGTGTGCATGTCTGATGGAGAATGGATGAAATAAAAGACATTATTGCATCTGATTGGGAATCTGATTATAAGTGGAGGCTTCGAGGCTCATAATTTATGAGTGACAGTTATCAGTTTAATGTCTACGTTTAGACTGTGTGTGTGTGTGTGTGTGTGTGTGTGTGTGAGAGAGAGAGAGAGAGAGAGAGAGAGAGAGAGAGAGAGTGTGTGTGTGTATGTGTCTTTATACTGACTAGCTGGGAGGGAAGGAGAAGAGGAATGATGGGGATGAAAACAAGATAGGAGGCCACATTAAAGAGGGACCCACCCAAAAGAGGAGAGCAGGGAATCACCAAGAGAGAAATCAGGAAAGGCAGCGTTAAAGGGCAAAATGTGGATCGTACAATGAAGGTTGGAGGACAGAGACAAAGGTTGGGCCAGACAGACATACATCTGGTCACACGCATGTTCCACGCATGTGTGTAACGAATAAATGCTTATCCACAAACTGTTGTGGACAGGATTGGTGTTGTGACATACTGAGAATTAATCTTACACAGTCAACACATTACTGGGAAATAATGGGTTCCCCGGAGTTGCAAAGCCCCATGTTGAGAATCTGCTCCTCTTCTCCATGGTAACCCCTGTTAGCCTTTAATAAGCTCATTTACATAAACAATCTCCAAGGATTCTTTTCACGTCTTTTGTTTTCTAATACCCACCAAATAAGCAGTGGCACTCCACCTGGCAAGACCCCTTCCCCCTTCACATATCTGTCACCGCTTATTGTAAACACATTGGACACATGCACACAGACACGTGTGCATGCAAACATACACACACTCTGCACTGGGAGCAGCTGTCACAGCTGCGATGCTACTGGCAACAGGATGATGCACATCATAATTATTTTGAATTGCTCAGCCAATAAGGAAGCAGCCTCAGTGGAATACACCAATAGCACACACACGGCAGATGCCCCCACTTCCGCATTTTAACACTTCAATAGCTCTGCAAATAGATTGATGAATAAACTAATCAAAAGTTACTTTAATATTACATTTCACTAGAACTGCATAGCCCCCGGGGGGTGATATACTTTCAGTAATACTGCACAAATCAGGTGTACAGCTAAACAGAGTAGCAGCACCCTTTGCTTTTGTTATAATCCACGTTGGGTTGAGAGTGTGAACACTGATGAGGGAGAGCGCCTCGAGGTTTACAGCAGGTGGGATGATTAGGTTTTATGAAGCTGTAAACAGATTGAGCTCTGTTACTGGGGGCTTGATATCAAATGCAGACATGTACTGTGCACACAACTCACACAGCGACACATACATTTATTACTTTGGAAGCAGGGAACGCCAGAACAGAAGAAAAAAGCATCTGTGTAATCAAACAAACCCCTCCAATTTTTGTTTTCATTCCCAGTGAGGGTGAAAAAAAAGCAATTTGGCGAAAGACGTCAGTGATTCGGTGCTGATATGACAGACAGTTGGTTAATTAAATTGTCACCAGACAGTAATTTCTTCAAACACAGCTCTGCTTGGGTAGATTGTGCATGTGTTTCCAAGTTGTTGGAAGAAAACCATCACACTACATGGGGTGCCATGTAAACTGTTATGCATTGTCACTTACTTATAAAAATGTACATATATAATGCATTTGGATTCTCAGCATGATGCCTAAGATTTTATTGTTGGAGCACTGATTTGGACAAAAGGCCTATAGCATTGCAGCCTATTGGTTCTCTCTTTCATAACTTGAAAACCTGAAATTGTCTCACTTATGAACATAGATGTATATAAATAGATTGTTGCTGTTTCTTACTTCCAGTCTGATTTTGTTACTTTCAAGTGTTGTTTGTGTTTATTATAAAACTGCAAGGACAAATCCCTGCCTTTTTTGAAAAGGGTTTCAGATTGGTACTCTGATTTAGAATACATCCCTTTATCCTTGTCATTTTATTCAAGGTAACGGTGCATTTCATTTGGTCGCCTGTCAGTGGTGTCATTTCTCCTTAACCCCCTCTAGTTGCAATAACTTCTGGAAAAACACGGGATACATCAGAGAGTGAGGAAGGAAGTTCTATGCTCTTTATTGTTATTGTTCTGATGTGACATACTGTGTGTTTGAATAAAAAGTCTGACACTTTGGGAATAAACCTATTTGCTGTCTTGCCGAGACTTAAGTGAGAAGATTAGATACCACTCCTGTATCTGTACGGTAGCAGCTAATCAGTTTAGCTTAGCAAAAAGACTGGAAATAAGTGGGAACAGCTAGCCTGGCTCTGTCCAAAGTCAACAAAATATGTCTACCAGATTGGTAGCTCAGCAACACATAGTATCATGTTTGTGTAATCCCTACAAAAACCCAAGTGCAAAAATGGCAGTTCACCACTGTAAATGTTATGTGCCAATAAAATGATTTTTGCAACGTTAGGACAGAGAGATGATAGCTGTTTACCTAGGTAGTCTTTGTGCTAAGATAAGGAAGCGAGCTGCTAGTTGTAGCTTCACATTTAGCATACAAACATGAAAGTGGCATGAATCTTCTCATCTGACTCTCAGTAAGAAAGCCATTTCCTGAAAATGTTAATAACTTGCATATAACTCAAAGGAACTTTATTTAGGAAGAGAAGGGAAGAGAAATGAAATGCATCCAAAAAGGGATGGGAGTTTGAGGCTATAAAGGGGGTGACGGGGGGGGTTAATTAAAAAAGTAGAACAGAATAGCAGAAGAGAAAGCCATGAGGCGGATAAAAGAATGATGAGAATGGAGGAGTTAGACCTGTAAAGAGAGCGTGCAAATCAAGCAGAGGAGGACCGAGTGGCTGAGGTGGAAGTTGGGGTTTGCTTGCTAATTAGTGCCCCCACATAGCTTTTCAGTGGTCGCGTTTTAATTAGTCTTGTGGCGCATGGCGGGAATGGCAAAGTGACCCCCACCCCACCTAAACAAACCCGTCTTTACAAAGGCACGCTTACACTGTCCCCCCAAGAAATTCAGCTGCCTCGCCGCTCACGCCGACCCACCTCCAGCTAGGATGTTTACTGTAAATATGTACCTGCTAACTGGATTAGTCATAATGTTATTCCTCATTGTCAGAGTTGCTTTTATTTACGTGTGTCAGACATACGCAACAGCCTTTTGATGCAATGTCGATTGTGATGCAAATTAGGCACACTCAGAGCTATCCTGGCCTCGCAACATTCATGTGGGAAAACAAACACTGGGGGGAGGTCCACAAATGAGGGTAGTCATACTACCTTACTGTAAAGTAGCATATGACCCTGCCTGCTCCTTAAAGGTCACGCAGGCCTGCTGAAGAAGCCCGGTGAACGCACTCACTATAGGGAGAGGAGAAGAGTGAGGGGCTGAAGAGTGGCTGCTATGTGTGTTACAGCCGATGTATCGCTGAGAGAAAGACATGTTGTCGCTGCAGTCTGTTCAGCCAAACGTGGTGATGTACCCCAGCAGCTGTGATACACACAGAGCTGTCCCCGTCAATAACCCAGTGTGTTTGTCATTATGACCGGTTGGATGTGTGTTTGTGGAGGGGAGTGTGTTTGTGTTTGTGTGTGTCTTCCTTCCTTGTCTTCTCCTCTATACTCATGAGTCCCCATGACAACTGAGCCACCGTCCAGCATCTTGTAGTTTTAAGTAGAGGCACAGAAGTGAAACTTTTAGCACCGGGAGAGAATGATATGATAGGCTGGCCTTTGTTTGTCCAAATTACGCTTTTAAAAAGAAGTCTCACTGCACAGAGCCGGTCTTTGTCCCCAACCATATCAACATCAATTCAGTCTCTACACTCAGTACAGTTATTTACTTCAAAGATGGGAAATCATGCTTGACATAATAGTTGGCTGGCATTTGTAATTCATTTTCAGTTCTTAGTGTTCTCGTGGGATATATAATGCAGACTGTGTCTGTCCACATCATAGACAGGTGCCCACCCAAGCATGACATGATAAATTTCAAGAGTCATAACACACCGGGATGTCCTTCTCATGTGTCTGAAGCGTCCGTCCTCACCACAGGACAAGCCCAGAGACAGTAATCATTGATGGCAGCTGAATCACTTCCTGTATGTGGGCTCTGGTGACATTAAGTCTTTACAAGTGTGAATGAAAGCAAGCTAATCTTTAGAATAAACTGCTAAATAGTGAAAAGCACCTGGTCCAAAAACAAAACTGATTTGACAAAGGCAATAAAAGCATCTCTTTTTGTTCCTTTTTAGGGGGCAAAGTGTAAAATATTCAGCTGCTTTTGGGGAAAAGAAACAGACTCTGATGCCTTTTCATAAATAAATAGGCTAAACATCATGGCATCAATAAAAAAAAGACAATACATTCAAAAGACAATACATAATATCAGCAATAATCTCTCCAGAAATTTTTGTGTCACATTTCATGGTAGCTCCATTGTACCTGCCTTGTGCGCTGTGTTTGGGTTGGACACCTCTTCATGTGGCCCTATATACATTTGCCACAAGTGCCTGTCTGAGTTAACCAAAGTCCTTCTTAATTCTGCTGTTTATAAAAGCTAAATTAATGTTTTTAAGATAGGGGTTCAAACTATAAGCCCTCATAAATTATATATAGACAGATTGGCAGGCACATTCTTTGACAAATCAAAGTATGTGAGTGATTTTTTTTGTATGTGATGCCAGCAGTGCAAATACATTTAGTCTGTTGGTGTTTTTTCAAAACGTCTCTAAACAAATTCTGCAGTAAGATATGTAATTTTTATTTATTTGCAAATATATTTCTATCTCTGAGTCACAACAGACGATTGATACTTGAACATATCCATCTAATCCCACCGACTAATTCATTGATAGCTGAGGTGAGAAGTCAAGAGGTGAATTAGTTTCCGTCTGCCTCTGAAGTAAGACGTCACTGTCAGCGCACCTCCGTTTCAAACATCATAATTATCTAAAAACACCTTCCAAGAGGATGAAAAGATGATGTTTACCTCATGTTCTATTACCAAATAAAATGTTTTTCTTTCCATTTCGCTTGGACAGGACGTGAACTCAAGAGTCATCTATTTTTAAATCACCGGGCATGTTTCCATAGCAATTTCAAGGATGTTGCCAAGCAACAGCATCGGATACAATGAAGACATGAATGAAAGTGGACTAATCGCGCGCGCATTTCCTGGCAGCTACCGGCTTAAAGGTGAATGGGCTCAGACGCGCCGGCTCGGCATCGCCTTCCTTCGCAGACTATAACACAGCCGTTTTTACTGTGTAGGCCCATGCTTGAACAATGAGACCTAACAGCTGGAAGACAGCTTGAGATGAGCGTTTGGCGGGACACCGGCCGCTTGTCCCTCGTTAATCAGCTACTTCAGCAGATCAGCGGTTTTAAAATCAGTAGGTATGCGTATCAATGCTTTCTCCATCCTAGCCTACTTGTAACCTCTAAAAGTTGTTCCACCTCTATGATCATTTTCTTGTTGTGCCACCCTCTTTCGATTGAGACATTTGGCGCGCGTAAAGGTATTGAGTCCTTTTGTGCGCTCTAGTGTCCGTGCGCACTGAGCAACAAAAGACTCCTCGGAAAAAACAAGAAAGATTTCAAACTATTTGTTGTATGAAAAGAACACCGGACCGTGCAGTCCATGTTTCATTTGCTTGCACATGTTAACGGCGGCCATGCGTTGGAGCAGGCTTACCTTCAATACAGCAGATTCTCCATAGCCCGGAGTGGGTGAGGTCGCCCTTTTTGGTTTTGGGCTGCGATTGCGTCTCGTCTGTGGTGGCATTGGTGGTGTTGCAGATGTACGCCCGCGAATAGAGCCAGTAGTCCGTGCCGATGGCAATAGTCATTAGGCTGAAGGCAGCGAAAGCCCCCACGGTGGCCAGCAGCGTTTGAACCCCGCGGTCACACCAAGCCATGGCGTTTCATACTAGTCCTCACTCTCACCGGTCCAACATGCACTCACCGGCGCGCGTCAGGGCGCGGATCCTTTGGTCATACTTATGTGCGTCCACAGTCTTTCTGCTGCTCCTCTGCTAAAAGTGTAGCCCAGAGAAAGAGGAAGAAGAAGTGGGAATATTGTCTCAAACGTTCACCTGCTGCTCAAACCCAACTGGTGGCTGCTGTGAATATGAGAGGACACCAGTTGTGCCCACTCCAGAGGCTCCACACAGACTCGGAGCTCGCAAAACAACAGGACAGCAGCATCGTGGAGCAAATCTGAGTACTTCAAACCTTCTCACCAGTTCATGCTTCTGGTTCCCACCCGTTATCTTTGTCTCAAACACTTTTCTCTGTCCCAACACAGACTGCGCCCCTGTTAAAACCCATTGCAAAAGAGGACTACGTCAATGGCTCTTAAGTGAGACCACACCCTCGCCAAATCTAACCAATGAAAGAGATGTGCTGTTGAATAAAGAAAGAAAAAAAAATGTGTATGACATTACAATTTCCATTCGGGTCACATGCATTTAAAACATGTGGAATATTTGGAGGGGGGGGGGGGGGGGGGGGTAATTAGACAAACAACCTCTTTCTCTCATTTGAGATATTTGGACACTCCCCACTGAATTCAGAAGCTCTGAATATTACCAAACTCAGTCAGCTGTGAAGATGGGGGGCAGGTGGGAAATAATGAGAGCTTTGACACAAATGGTCATTCTCTGTGGTGCACTAATGCCACACAGCCAATCCCTCACAGAAGAGAGCATTAAAAAAGCAATAAGATGCTTGGTGAGTGTCACAGGAGCCCGGGATCCTGATAGATAGATAAATAGATAGATAGATAGATAGAGATGTACAAATACAGACACGTGTTGCTCAGCAGTTCTAAGTCAGTGTGTGTTTCAGGAGATTCATAAAAATAATGCGAATAACAGACACACTCACATGAACCCTCCCTCTACTTCTGATTTTGATCATGGAGCTGACAAATTGGTTTATTAAACATGCAAAAAAAAAAAACACAGCACTCATGCCCATGTGAACACCAAATTAGAGACATACTTAATGCATCTCTGAGCCAGATGGGAGGTTGTCAAACCAGCGGGGATGGCTTCGACTGGCAAAGTGCCTCAGGCTTGATAAAAAAAACAAAAACAACTCTTGATGTTACTGCTAGCCTCGTTTCTGTAGAAATCTGGTCAGCTAACTGGCTAATTTCACCCAATTTTGGCAATTTGTGTAAAACTAACAATTCACAGATAAAAGCTTTCAATAAACCGAACCACCTGAGATAACTTGTACAACATTCAGACGGCCTTGCTTCAACTCAGTGAAACTGTCTACAACTGTCATTGTTCTTATAAGGCTAAAACACGAAATGCCCTCAGGACAGGACAAAATAAAAAGGTAATGGACGCAGGGTTTTATGTGCCTTAATGTTATGTAATAATAATACAATGTCATATTATCAGAATCAGAAATACTTTATTGATCCCCGGGGGGAAATTCTGTAAAGGGAGGGGGAAGGGGATATTTGTTCTCTGCATTTAACCTATCCTATTTAGGAGCAGTGGGCTGCCATCGCATGGTGCCCGGGGAGCAGTTCGGGGTTCAGGGCCTTGCTCAGGGGGCACCTTCGGCATGGGTCATGCTAGACTCAATCTGGCAACCCACCGGTTTCCAAGCCAAGGCTTAACAGACTGCCCCCCCGAATATTATATGGACTATATGGCAAGTAGTCTGAGCAGGAAGAAAGAGTGGTATGAGATTAGGACAATTCTTTTTTAGAGCCAAGTTCCCACATGCTGCCAGATGAATTAATGAATACAATTAGGGTGTCAATTTTAATCTGTAAGGTACTTCAAATCTTTAAAGATCCCCTCCAGACGTATTTGAAGATGAAAATACTCCTAACATGCTTGGAATGATAGTGTCTAATACGGGTTTTCCATAAAACAATTATGTGTCCTGCCTGATTGTAAGTAAACACTCAGTATAAAGTATGTGCACAAGTATATGTGGAAAGTTTCACATTTCCACACTCACACATGTGTAGGTTACATACTGGACCACGACTGGCTCCCAAACTAGTTGTGATGTCCCAAAGCAAAGCTCGTACTTCTTCTTGCTAAATTCAGACTTAAGGTGTGCAGATAACTGTCAGCAGATGAATGTGAAAAACAGCCTCCTAGTGTCAAACTGTGCACATGCATCATTCTGCACAGTGAAACATCTAAGCAAAGTTAATTTTTTTTTATGCTATTAGAATCTACATATGTTATCGATTATGTAAAGCAATGGTTGATACTTTTTTTTCTTAATTTATAATTTGCTTATTTCTGTATATGCCCCTCAGATGCGTTTTTATGTAACTACATTTACTGCAAGCTACTGTACTTAGGTACAATTTTGAGGTACTTTACTTGAATATTTCCACTTTATGCTACACTTATGCCCCACTACAATTTGGATGCCAATATTGTACTTTCTACTCCACCACAGGTATTTGACATCATTAGTTGCTAGTTACTTTGCAGATTCAGGTTGTTAATACAAAATATAAATCAAGTAGTGGTTTATGGTGAATTATTATGGATTAAACTACAGCCACCAGTTTATAAAGTAGTTGAAATTAGCCCTACCTTTCCCAGCTGCATCATTAATAATCATGCCCCCCCCCCCATATCTGCCACATTGTTCTTTCTCTACACATTGTTCTATTATTCTTTCATAACTTGCATCTGTTTATTCCATTTTTATTTATTTTTACAATATTACAGGTTAGTAGTGAAATTGAGTTTGTAACTCCCTCCTTTCTCCCTTGTAACACCATTATCACCACATTCTGCACAATGAGTACTTTCACTTTTGCTACCTTAAGTATATTTTGATGTCAATACTCCTGTACTTTAACATTTAATGCAGGGTTTCTGCCTGCTTTGTGTGTCCATTAAAAGGTTGTGGCATTTTTCCTTCCGCAGCCCTGATGGTGGCGCCAACTCGCTGCAATACTGGAGGAAAAGGAAATGCTGGTAAAAGTACGACTACCATGTATGCGAGTAAAAAACACAAGGACAGGACCGTGACGTGACGGCGTGGGCGCCCACGTGTGTAGGGCGCATGCGTAGTGCTCGACCGTGCCTTTTCTGGTCGCTTTCGCAGTCTCTCAATGCACATGTGCAAAACAAAACAGTGACGACGGTGTTGGCTCCTTGTTCGTTTCCTGGGCAACATCTGAACAAAGGCCTGCCCCTTTTCATGAGGATTTCTCTACCGCCATCGTTACTTTACGTGTAATCACGATTACTAAATCGGATTACGCTACTTTTATTATATTTCAAGACGTCGGTAACAGTAGAGATAGCGTCCGAAATGGATGTGGATCAGCATGAGACCTACGGTGAGACTAAATCGGCCATGCATACTTGGCGATATCGCCACCATTTCACGTACAAGGCAGATCAAGGAAAAAATATCATCGTCCAGTGTAATCTATGTCTGCCGAGGGTCAATCTGCTGTCCACGTCGAAAACCTCAACATCAAACCTAAAGAAGCATTTAGATGTAAGTTACAGAAAGTCGTTTCCCTGGCATTATTTCCTGTACCCGTCAGCTTAATGTTTGAAAGAGTCATGAATGAATAGCTGTCCTGCTGATGAATAACGTTACATTGTAGCTGCATGGTACTCGTGGCGCTGGAGGCTCTTTTACGTTCAACGTCGCTGGGAAAAAAAAGCCCCAATCATTTTACTTTGCACAGGTGTTTTTTTGTGGGGTTTTTTGTCATTGCAGTTGAAGTTGGCAAACTTATGAAAACTCAGAACACACAAACGGCACACCTCCAGCAACTAACATGAAACTTTGTCGGATGTTCTGCCTTTCAGAGAACACACCTGGGCTGTGAGGCCAGGCCTGATGCCAAGAGGGGACGGAAGAGAGAAGAGCACAATGGAGAGGAAAGCAGGCACTGCCAGCTCAAGAAACTCAAGGCAGAAATCATCTCCAAATGCTTGACCCAGGCAAAGATCGATGAGCTAGTTTTTAACTTCATCGTGGAAGACTGCCAGTCGTTTTATGTGCTAGAGCAACCCGGCTTCAGGAGGCTGATTGCAGGCTTAACTGAAGGGCTAAAGTCCATGGACAGGGTGACCTTGTTTACAAAGGTGGACCAGGGTTTCTCCAGGATGCGGGAGGATCTGATGGCGAAACTCGCCAACATCCAGTACGTGTGCACCACAGCCGACATTTGGACAGCCAACAACAGAAGCTTCTTCGGGATGACCTGTCACTGGATCGATCCAGGCTCTCTGGAGAGGAAATCCGCCGCTCTGGGGTTCGCGCGGCTGCAGGGCAGGATCACGTACGACACCATCGCCGGACGGATACATGACATCCATGTGGCGTACAATATTGAGAGCAAAGTTCAGACCACGGTCACCGATAATGGCAGCCCCTTTATGAGCGTGTTCAAAGAGTTTGCGGTGGACAGCACGGAGAGCGACGACGACATTGGGTTCTACGAGAACGTGAGCGCCGTCCTCGAGGGGGAGCCGGAGCAGGACATGCTGCTGTTTCTGCCCACTGTGCAGCGCTGTGCATCACACACCCTCGAGCTGATTGTCACTGAGGACTTTTGGCAGGCTGTGTCACAAGGGCCCATGTGCCAGCTACATTACAGCGTGATGGCCAAGGTGTACGCCATATGGAGCAAATGCCACCATCTCCAGGTCGGTATGGATGCTGCAGAGGAGATAGGGAAGATGGCACTTGTTGTCCCTGCTGTCATACGCTGGAATGTGGAGTACTGTGCTGTGCAGAAGATTGTCTCTCTCAGTGAGCGAGAGCTGACGGAGCTGTGCGCCCGCCTGGAGGTCCCGCGCATGCAGCCAGAGGAGATGGCCTTCCTGAAAGAATATGTGACCGTGTTCCACCCGCTCGCTTTTGCACTAGAACTTTTCCAAGCGGAGCAGAAATGCTACCTGGGTCTGGTCATCCCGACCGTACTCAGTCTGAAGAACAAGTTAAATGAGCAGAAAGACGCAGCGAATTACTTTGGCGACGTCGTCAACGCCATCGTGGTGGCAATTGACGTGCGGTTCCAGGAGCTGTTTGACAGCACAGAAGCAAAGATTGCGACGGCGACGACTCCACAGTTTCGCCTGTGGTGGATTGCGGCGTCTGAGAGGGAGGAGATGTGCGCCCTGCTGGCCACAGAGGCGTCCCAGGTGGAGCCCTGCAACGTGACGCTGCGTAATGCAACCGAGGCAAAGTCCAGTCGCAACTTGTCTACCATTGAATCTGAGGATGACTTCTTCAGCTACGGGCCAGTGAAGCCTGCCATTCAGATCCAGCAGCGGGGAGTGATGGAGGAGATCCGCAAGTATGTCGAAGGGACAGGGAAGAGCCTGGAGTGCCTGCAGGACTTCCCCAGAGTGAAGCAGCTTTTCCTAAAATACAACACCACCTTGCCGTCCACGGCTCCTGTCCAGCGTCTCTTCAGTCAGAAAGGCAACCTGGTCACCTCACAGAGAAACTTTCTGACTGACGACTACTTTGAACGCATTCAGCTCTTGAGATACAACAGCAACGTGTGCAATTTGGTGCCTGAGTGAATATACTGACAGTGACTCTCTCTCTCGCTCGCTCAGCCTTTTAATTGATTCAGAATCAAACCACATTGTGCTAACATCCTTACAGAAAACCGCTGAGTAAAATCAAATTTTAGAGATATCTGTTTTCTTATATTCCTCCCCTGCCTGTTTTGGTAGGCATTATATCTCCCGCTCCTGAATGGCCTAATGAAAATATCAAATTGACAATCATGGACAATGGCATTCAAGGACTGAATATACTGACAAAAGCATATTTCTATCTGTGCTATTGTTGTGATTTAAAGTAGCCACAGGGTTAAACTGAAGTGATTGTCTTTTATTTAAGGTAGTTTTTTTTTTTTCTACAGCTCTTCAATGACAATGCATCTCCCTGTCTGTATGTTTTATATCATATATAAAGAGACAAGGAAACAGCCAGTTTTTCTGTGTCTCGCCTTTTTTCATGAAAACCATTTTGAAAGCAAATGTAATTGGATTAGCGACGGCGCGGGATAGGCTGCCTTATTTGCATGCAGCCCCGACTGCATCAACAGATACTGATTACTGTTTCAAAGTAGCCTGAGAATGTGTGTGTGTGTAAGGAGACGGTACACAAACACCAATATTTCCAGTGCTGCCGAGTCCCCAGTGTTTTCCTCACCATGTGCCCAGATGTCAGTTAAGAGCTTTCGTCTTGGCAGGCAGCCAACAGTAGGCTGTCAGAGCATACAAATACACACGCACATAGTCTGTCTGGACCTGAGCTGTCGAAAATATGACTTTTCTGAAGATGCGAAACCCTTCCAGTGAGAGTGTGAAAACCCCAGGGATTTGCTTTTCTTTCATTTCAACATAGTATGTATGACTCCATTTGTATATATTCTCGTTATGTGTAAATGATCTTGCCTGCAACTGCCAGAAAGGCAGAGAAATTAAACTCCCATCAGTGGATTGCTGTGAAACTGATCCACCAAGATCTACTAAGACAGGGTCTTGGGATTCTATTCAACAACGCATAAGCTGATGAGGACAAACTGCTGCTTGGACAACTGATTCCAGGGAAAGAACACAGTAAATGTGCGTAGCTAAAGTATTGCTGCAGAAAATGCAATTGTCACATTACAAAAGAATACAATTCTAGATGGAAATTGCACAGCGTTGAACAGGATGAGGCAGTAAAAAATAGAGTAAACAAGGAAATAGCGAACAGCAGGCTGGTGTCGGACAAAAAAAGCTGCAGCAACTACATTACACATGCTTTAATATACGTCACCAACTGCTGCATGACTAAATCACATTTGAAGTTTAAAAAGTACTTTAAGATCGTGGACACAAACAATTTGTAGCTTTTAAGATAATCTGGTTGAGTTTTCCGTATTACATTTAGAAAACTATAGCTCCGTATCTGTGAGAACATGTAATGAAAATGTTTAAATTAAGGTTTTTATATGGGCTTAGATTTTTTTCACTACTTTCACACCGAGTGAATAAGGGTCAGGAAGTATTAAATGTTGTATATAAAATAAGTTCTTTAAGTGACATCGTTTCAGCTGGAATGCAAAAATCTGACCTTGATCTGCTCTCACAAAGACGAGGTGTTTTGGAGATATAAATTACAAACACTGAAGCCAAAGAGTCTGAATGAGGACTTCCCCCTCAGTGTAATGTTATAATTTATAGGTGATTACCTCCTCTTTATTTTTTACAAGCCAGGTGGAGCAGAGATTTTCTAAAAGGTGTGCGTTCTTGTGTATCCCTGCTTTCCACTTCATGTATGGTGGGATTAGGTACAGCTGCGTGGGGATAAGACCAGCAGGTGAAACAAGTCAATGGATGACAATATGTTGTCAGTTTATAAATGACAATCCCGCCACCCAGTTGGACTTCGGTACGTACCACTTTCTTGAGGAAAGTGTTTTTAAAGTTATAAAACAGTCGAATAAAACACACCCCAGGCCCCAGTTCAAAGTTTGATCCAAAGTGAAAGTTTTAATGATTTCTGAAAAACAAATGGTACAAAGTATTACTTCTGAAAACCCCGAGTAATACCCGTTACCACACATTAACAGACACATTTAGAACAGGATCATGTTAGGCACAAAGTGGGTGGAAGGTGTACAGTGTGTGTTAGACTAACAACTTCTGTCAGTACCTTTGATTAAGCCATCACCAAGCCCTTGTCTTAACAGGCCTCTTATGCTTCCTGCCTTGCAAAATATAGCCTTAGAATCTCTTATACAAAGCAGCATCACGGAGATAAATACTTAAGTTACTTTAACCGTCATCCATTTTGCTTCAACGGAGTCTTTGTCAGTTCAGTGATATAGTACACTAAGGAAGGAAGCATTAGAAGGTGCTCTAGACATGGCTGGGATAGTTTAATATTCTAATGCCCTTCTCTCACTTTGCTTGGGTAAGAAACTCCTCTGGAGTCTGGACAGCCCCAGTCACTGCAGAAGCAGCTTGGCAGAGCTGAAGTGTCCCAGGTTCTCACAGGACTTGATCCAGCGCTGGACATGAGCGGGAGCTGAGGAGGCCGAGCCACTTTGCAGCACGCAGCAATAGCAGGCAATGTCGGCCAGGGAGAACTCTGGCCCGGCCAGCCAGGGGTGGCGGCCCAGAGTGGAGTTGAGGGCCCGCAGGACGGTGGCCTGCTCCTTGGCGCTGCCCTCTGCCAGCTGGAAGAAAGCTATGTCCACCCAGCTGTCCACCAGCGTGGCGAGAGCAGGATCACTGGGGTAGGGAGCGAGCAGCTTGAAGAGGAAGCGCGCCACGTTGGCCTCGCCCTCGATGGGACACATGTTCTGGACGCTGAACTTCATCTGCAGTTTGGGGACTGTGGATTGTTCAAAATATAAACATGTCTCATGGTAAACAAGTAATTACAACATCAAGATCGTGTCAATATGATATCATGTATACAAAGCTTGCAATGGATATAAAAAGCACTCCTAAAACACAATGACACAAATTTATATTTGACTTTATGTAATTAAAAAACCTTAACATGATTTTTGGCAAATTAAAAGGCTGCAAAGATTTATTCTTTATAATTAAATTACTGGCATATTACAAAAAAAAAAAAAAAAAAGAAAGACATTCTGGTTTAATCACACTCATTAAAAGCCACCTACTCAAATGGCTTTGTGTGACTGCAGCTGTTATAATTTGTTGTAACAATTTTGGCAGGGCAATAGGTGTTGTAATTAGTTTTATAATCTCAGAAAAAGAAGCAAACCGCCTACACACTTTCACAAGAAATGACATCTAAATTAAACAGCATGGTTGTATCAGGACTGCCTGGCACCGGCAAATAAAAACTGGTATAGGTAGAGCACAGACATACTAAATTTTGCCTTCTGATTTGATTTAAAAAGCGCTCTGTGCATGCAACTGTTAGTACACATTAGTGCAAGAATGCATTTGTTGCACTCCCTAAACAAGTACACAAGGATAAAATCCTCTCTTCCGCCTCACTTTGAGTCTTCCTACACTCCTCGTCTTCTGCCCATACCCCCCAACACACACTGCCTTTCTCACTGTTCCTTACCATTTTTCCATATGAGGGTGAATCCCAGCTGGAACATCTGGCGGGCATAGCTGTTTGCGTGTCGTGGGCCGAGGCAGGACAGGAGCTGTGACGGCACACTGTCAACCGAGGAGTGGACATGGACGGTGGAGAGCACCCGATAGCGCTGACACAGCAGGCTGTGGAGCACCAGCAGGGACAGGGGTGGCTTAGCCGGGTTGGCGTTTATGACGATGTCGCGGAGAGCACCGAGGTCCTTGTGGCATAAACAAGAGAAAAGGAGGTAAATAGGTGCAGCGTCCAAAATAAAAATAGTATTACATTTGTCTACCATTACTAAGCTTAACAAATAGACTGTAATCAGTCCACACCCTCATATCTGCTTTAAGACGACTCCCAACATTAGCAGGTTCTGCATGTTTGCATAGTATTTATAACTTGTAATAACAGGGTGTGATCAGGAAAACATCTACAGACTGCTACTGCCACAGAGAAACTGCAGTGACCACTAGTAGATGGTTGATGTAGGATAAAATCTAGCCTCGCTAATAAATACAGTTTCCACTTGTGCTGATGCCTGGAGGCAGAGTGGCACTCTTCCCACCATATTTCTCACCTTGCCCAGTAGTGTGTCCAGCTCTGCGACACCTTTGAAATTTGTGGAGCTGGAGCATTGGGAGGAGAGGCTGCTGCTTACTGTCAGGTCAAGATCAGCATCTGGGGTGGTCACCGTCTTGGCCAGGCCCTCGACAGCTGCTTTCAGCTCGTACAGTTTTCTCATGATTTCATCCTGCCGGGCCTCCAGTGCTTTGACCGCTGGGTCCACCTCGCCATTCTGGGGAGACAGAGAGGGATCGCTCAGTTTGGCTGAAACCACATTTAACTGACCTTGCACAGAGACAGTACTGAGAACATATTTAACATATTAACAGTCTGCACACCCGCCACCCGGTTGGACTTCGGTACGTACCACTTTCTCGAGGAAGTGTTTTTAAAGTTATAAAACAGTCGATTAAAACACACCCCAGGCCCCAGTTCAAAGTTTGATCCAAAGTGAAAGTTTTAATGCTTTCCGAAAAACAAATGGTACAAAGTATTACTTCTGAAAACCCCGAGTAATACCCGTTACCACACATTAACAGACACATTTAGAACAGGATCATGTTGGGCACAAAGTGGGTGGAGGGTGTACAGTGTGTGTTAGACTAACAATTTCTGTCAGTACCTTTGATTGAGCCATCAACAAGCCCTTGTCATAACAGGTCTCTTATGCTTCCTGCCTTGCAAAATATAGCCTTAGAATTCCTTATAAAAAAGCAGCATCGCAGAGATAAATACTGAAGTTACTTTAACCGTCATCCATTTTGCTTCAGCGGACAGACTAAACCATCAGATTAGGTTATATACTGGCGATATGTTCCACAAAATCTACCCCAGGAAGTATCCACATACTTCCATCAAAGTAGCAACATCACACTGCGTAAAAAAATACTCCACTATTAGTAGCAACATTAATAAAATGTACACAAAGTATCAAAAGAAAATGTGTTCAACACAGAAAAATATCTTCTTTGAGAGTTGTACTATTAGTATTATATACTGCATTAATATTGCCAATGCATTAATGTGCATTTTACAGTTGCAGTTGGACAAGGTAAAGCACCACTGCACAGCTACTACTCAAGTAAAGGACAAGTACTTTTAAAACTGTATTTGAGTTCAGGGCTTGAGTAAACAGTTAACTGTTACATACCAGTACTGCGCAAATGGAGTAACATTAAGGGTCTCCCATGCACAGTCCCACCATCATGACTTATACTTTGATTTGCTATTAATAACGATTATTAACAGTTAATGCATCAAGTTGTGGGGGAGACAAAATAGCGTAACTTAAATGGTGTCGGCACTT